GGGCGGGGCGGGGCAGGGCAGGGCAGGGCGGGGCAGGGCAGGGCCGGGCCGGGCCGCAGCTACAGCCCCAGCGCCCCCAGAGCCGCGGCCCCACCCGCCAGGACCCTGCGCCTCCGGCGCGGCTTCACTGCCCGGCTGTGGGCGGGGCCTAGCCCGCGGGCGCCAGTTGGCCAGTGGGACGGAAGAGGCGGGGCGGGCGCTGGCGCTGTTTGGGCGCTGCCCCGGAAGGGGCGGGGCGGGCTGGGCTGGGCTGGGCTGGCATGGCGGGCGCGGCGCTGTCGCGGGTACCGGTGGTGCAGATCGATGGCGATGGCGTGTTCAAGTACGTGCTGCTGCGGGTGCGCGGCGCTGGTACGCCACACAAGGACATCGTGCGCGGCCACGGCTGGGCCGAGTACCACGGTGAGGGACACGGGGCCGCGGGGGGGAAGCTCCGGCCTGCAGTCCCGAGGGACGCAGCCGCGGGCCCCGGGGTCGGGCGGGGGCTGCCGGGAATCCAGTCCGCCTGAGTCGGGGAGTCCCCGTGCCCCCCCCCCGCTCCCTCCCCGCAGCCGACCTGTTCGAGCGCACCGCGGAGGAACTGGCGCGGCACGGCCTGAGCTGCGAGTGCTTGGGCGGTGGCCGCCTCGCCCACCGCCCCGAGGAGAGGAAGATCCACGTCTACGGGTACTCGGTGGTAAGCGGGGACCGTGGGGGACCCACGCGCGGACGCGGCATCTCCCTTCCCTCGACAGGTCCCGCTGGCTGTGGCCGAGTCAGCCTCGCGTCCCCTCAGGGATGGAAGGGTTGAGCCCGGCGGCGCTGCCGGGGGTCCCCGTGAGGGAAGACCCCACAGAACCCTCTCGGATGAGCAATCCTTGCCCAGAGCAGGGGCACCCCACACACTGTCCAGTCTCTGCCCGTGGGACAGTCACACACCCAGAGCCTCCCGGGCCTGCCCTGGGCACCATCCAACCCCATCGCTGGGTACTGCAGAGGAGCTGGGCTGCGCAACAACCGTGTCTTTGCTGTGTCTGCATGTCCTGAGTGTGTCACCGCAGGCGTGTTAGGTGCTGCAGGGCCCTGTCAGGGTGACTGGTGGCACCCTAGGGGGGGTCACCCATGCAGGGGGTCCCTAGGTGCTGACCCTGGCTGTGCCCGTGTCTCGGCACAGAGCCCAGCCAGGGCCAGGGCAAGGTGCTGGTCCCCAGGCCACAGTGCTGCCGGTTTTCCCAGTGCCAGGGTGCTGTGCCAACCACAGCTGGAGCCAGGCTGAGCTGCCACAGAGGGTTGTCACAGACACAGGCTCCAGGGCCTCTCTGGAGCTTGTCAGGCTCCCCCACGGGTGGCCACCCACCAGCTCTCCTTGGGGATCGTCTCTCCTGTGCAGGGCTTTGGGCGAGCTGACCACACTGTGACCACGGAGAAGCTGAAGGCCGAGTACCCCGACTACGAGATCACCTGGGCAGACGAAGGTTACTGACTGCTCTGGCCGTGGGGCCAGCCTGGAGCTGGCATGGTGCCGAGGCAGTGCCAGCAGGCTCCCTGTGCCCGGCAGTGCTCTGGGCTCTCTTGCTTTTCCTCTGAGAACTCGCCTGTTCCCCACCGTCACTGGACTGTCCATGTGCCAGGTGCTCCTACCTTCCTGGCATGGCAAAGCTGGTGAAATCAGTGGTCACTCCATCCCAGCCTCCCAGTGCTGGGGGCTCGTCCCACGCGTCTGTGAGAATTAAACTCGTTGGGGAGCATAGCTGCTCGGGTGGCCACGCTCATGGCTCGGCTGCTCCTTTCCCAGCTCTGGGTTGCGCCCGCTGACAGCAGGAGAGACCCCGCAGGGTTTCAGCCCCTTGAGGGGGGTCTGACCCTGGAGTGGGTAGGGTCTGGGGATAGGGGCAACAGGAGGTACGTTGGGATTTGCCTTGGGAAGGGCTGAGACAGGAGGGGGGGAAATGATGGGTTCTCAAGCCTGGGGGAGGGAAAGGCAGGGTGAGGCCTGTACCCAGTGTCCTGCCCCAGGCTCTAAAGGAAGCTCACAGTGAGGGGTAATGAGCCTCGTGGGCAAAAAAAGGGTTTTCCTGTGCCTCATCCTTCCTTTCTGCAAGGTGTGACCCTCCCCTGTGCCAGGACGGAATGTCACCCAGTACTCACATGGAGGAGCACAGCTTCCCTGCAAGTCTTTGGATCATGGAGCTTGGAGGCGTATCTGGGATGTCCTGTCCATCCATCAGCACAGCAGGACCAGCTCCAGCAGGTCTATCCTGATGACATTGTTGGGATGTCCTGTGCAGCGTCAGGAGTTGGACTCACTGGTCCCTGTGGATCCCTTCCAACACAGGGGATTCCATCGTTCCATGATTTTATTCTATGATTAGGTTCCTGGGGGCTGTGGCCAAATGGGATTTGGGAATGTCCCTGAACCCAGACCCCCTGGCAGCCTGCTCTGGTTTTGAGAACCCTCACAAGGAAAAAGGTTTCTCTTAACCTTAAAGTGGTGTTTGCTGTTCTCACGTTGTCCTCGCTGTCTCAGCCCTTCCCAGGACGCTCCCTGCTCAAAGGGTCAGCTCCCTGCACCCTCCTGCCAGGGCTTACACACATGGGTAGCATCCCCCTGCACCTTCTCCAGACCGAGCACCTCCAGTTCAGCCTTTCCTCCTGGGAGTCCAGTCCTCTCAACATCATCAGGGAATCTCCTTCCCTGGAGACACTCAGAACCCACCTGGACACATCTGACTGCTCCGAGGAGCCCTGCTGGAGGAGAGGGGTTGGACTGGATTACCTCCAGTTGTCCCTTCCTGCCTGTACCATCCTGGGACCTGGAGGATATACTCTACCCACAGCACCCAGGAGGCCAGTGGCTGCTTTGCCACGGCACTGGCCCATGGCCAGCTCGGGGCTCCCAGGTTGCTGGGCAGGGCAGGGCTTCTTTCTGTGCCTGGAGTGCCCAGGCTGGGGAGTGTGGAGCTGCTGGTCCCACTGGATCTGGCTGGCGCTGGGGGAAGGAGCTGAACCTGCATTTTACTGTGCCTGATGCAATCCTGCTGCAATCCACGGTCCAAGGCCGTCAGCACAAGGGGAGAAGCTGCGCTCAGCAGGGGCCCCTCTCTGGGCACAGGGGCTGCAACAGCAGAGGTGAGAGGGGTCCCATGGGCTAGCAGCCCCCATGAGCCCTTGCAGCAGCTTCCCCTACCCAGGTGGGGAAGCAGGTGAGGGCAGCAGTTGCCATCACCAGGCAGCACTGGTGGTGCCCTGTGGGGCTCTGGCTGCCAAGCCACGCTTCTTCCAAGCTGATCAGCCCTTGCTGGGGCTCTGCAGGGATGTTCTGCCCCAAGAGTGACCTGATTGTGGCCCCAAAGCTGTGCCCCTTTGCCCCATGGGAGTCATGAGCTGGGTGCTGAGCTGCTCCCTCCAGCCAGAGTGGTGCAGGCGGAGTGAAGGTTAGCTCCTGTTTATGGCATCTCAGAAACCCAAGGTTCCAGGGAGACCTTAGAGCCTCATGCTGCCTAAAGAGGCTCCAAGAGAGCTGGACAGGGACTTTGGACAAGGGCCTGGAGTGACAGGACAAGGAGGAATGGCTTCCCACTGCTAGAGGGCAGGGTTAGATGGGATACTGGGAATATTGGATATTGCTGACCCTCAGTACAGCTGCCCTCCCTGGCAAGGGTGCAGCCCACTGCCAGCCTGTGCTCTGCACCCAAAGGCTCTCCCACTGCTCCTTATGCTTGGGGACTGGTTCTCCCTGTGATCTAGCCCAGGGGACTGACACACCCACCATGTCCCTGGCATAGGTGCCAGCTTCTCCCGCAGGGCTGGCAGCATCCCTGGCTTCGCAGGAAGCGGCCTCATCCCTCGAGGGGCTGGTGCATGTCACCAGCTGTGCTCTGTCCCAGTCAAAGCAGTGTCTTGTCCATGGTGAGAAGAGGGGCTGAAGAAGAGGGGTTCAGTGGGGGAAAGCTGAAGGTCTCCCTGGGACACCTGGCTGGCAGCTCGCTGCTGCAGTGCCAGCGTGCCGGGTGGCAGGACCATGGTGCATTGTCCCAGCTCAGCACAACCTCGCCATAAACCCTCTGCCAGACCGGAGAGCCGATAACAGCGGGGCTGAAGTCCAAAGCGGGCAGGTCCCAGGGAGCAGATTCCAGCCTGGGGCTCACGGTGTGGCCTCTCCAAGCTCTGTTTTACTGTCGCAGTGACAGGGATGGCTGCAAGCGGGCAGGTGCTGGTCTTCCTGGTGCTGCTGGGTGAGCTCTGCCGACACGGGGGTTGTGCCGCGGGCAGGGAACGTGCTGGCTGCTCCACTCTGGTCCTCCGCAGCCTGGACTGCCATGGGGATCTCTGTTTCCCCCAGCTCTGGGAGGGCTGTGCTGCTCGGGCTGGGGGGCGCTGGGGCAGGTACAGCCCAGCCAAAACCTCCTCTGGGCTCTTCTGGTGAAGGTCAATGCTGGGTTCCCGGGGTGAGCAAGTGCTGGAACTCCCAGTGCCAGGCTGGGTATCACCAATGGCTTTATTCAGCATGGGACAGAAAACGCCCAGATTTTCCTGTTTCTCCCCACATGGGGGCTGGGACTATGATGTAGCAGGCTCAGTGCCCCGGTGGGCTCTGGCACCCTGAGGGCACACAGGAGTGGGGCTGAGAGTGGGAGATGGCAGTGTGGGACATGTAGAGTGCCAGGGCAGTGACAGAGGGTCCCATCCAAGGAAGAGCTCAGTGCGACCTGCCCCCCCCCCCCCATCAGGGTCCTAAACCAGGGTGCCCAGACAAATATCCCCTGCAAGCTACATGTGCCCTCTGTCACTTGCTGTGGGCAACATGCCTGGTTCCCTACAGGGTTTTCAGCCCCCTTGTCTCTCCCATAGCCAAGACCCTCCTCCCCTGCGGGTCAGTGATCATCAACAGCTGCAGCAGCGCAGCTGAGCAGCTCTGTGACTTTGTCTGCGACTGCAGTGACTGCTCCGACGAGAACCAGTGTGGTGGGTGCCCAGACTCCCCAGACCCACTCTCAGTCCCTGCTCCTGGGATGACAGCAGGCGACGGAGTGGAAGGTCTTGTGGGTGCAAGTCCCTGGGTTGATGCTGGTGCCCAAGGTGGATGCAGGGTCCCCCAGGATGGGCACAGGACCCCAGGGTGGGTGCAGATCCATGGGGTGGGCACAGGTCCCCAGGATGGTGCCAGAGCTGTCCTGAACCCCCCATCTGCCCACCCTCAGGGTACCTGCGAGGCTCAGCAGTGCTGGGCACCCCCTTCACTTGTGACTTTGAGGATGGTGACTGTGGTTGGCAGGACGTGGGCACCTCAACATACAGATGGGTGCGGGGCCAGGCCAGCCTGACCATGTGGGGCACAGGGCCTCATTCAGACCACACCGTGGGCACCAACCTGGGTAAGCAGGAGCTACTTGGCTGGTGAGTGCTTTCTGGGCACCCACGGCACCACCCCGCTGGGCTGTGGGTGCCCTCGAGGCAGGGTGCCAGGACACCCACCCTTGTAAGGTGCAGGGGATGGAGCAGACCCGTGGAGGGGCAACATTGGTGCTGGCAGAGCGCCTGTGCCATCCCATGGGGCTGCAGCCCCTGCTCTGCTCTCTGCCCTCCTCAGGCTCGTTCTTGGTGACTGTGTCCCCTCCTGCAAAGACTGTGACCACGGCCTGGCTCAGGTCACCAGAGATGCAGGAAGCAGCTGCCACATGTGAGATCAGAGCCTGGTACCACCTCTCAGGAAGCTGTGAGGACACCCAAGGTGGGCACAGACAGCATCAAGTACCAGGCACAGGGCAGTGAGGATGAGAGGCAGTGGGGAGGGACAGGGCCCCCACGGCAGGGGCAGGATGGCAAGGCAGTCCTTGCCATCCCACTTGCCTCTTCCACACTCCACACACAGGTCTGGTGGAACCCAGGAGTCCCAACTCCAGTCCCCAGAGCTGGCAGGGCCCCCGGGATGCCCATTGCCAAGGGTACTTTTGGGGCTCCCTGCAGGGCTCAATGAGATGGAGCAGCCGGTGCTGCGCCTGGACGTGGCATACAGGGACGAGGTGGTGGGACTGTGGCAGAGCCCTGAGCGCAGCAGCAAGGGCTGGCACCAGCTGGTCGCCTACCTGGGCCGGATCGTGGGGCAGTTCCAGGTGAGACAGTGTCGGTACCCAGGTACTGTCCCTCCAAGCTGGGGCCAGAGGAGCTGGGGGGTGCTCCAGGAGCCCAGGGGACCCAGGCAGCTCATGCCATCCCTGTCCTCACATCGCAGCTTATCTTCTCCCTGACACAACCACCTGCCTGCGGGGCAGAGGTGGCACTCGATGACATCATCTTCAGGAACTGTGGCTTGCCAGGTGAGTCCTACATCTGCTGATATGTGAGACAGGGTCTCGCGGGAATTGGGTGGGGCTTTGCACCCCAGGGGAGCTCTCCCACTGCCCACTGTGTCTTGAGGCACTGTGCCCTTTCATGGGGTGGACAGTGAAAACCTGTCCCTTGAGCCACCCCAGGGAAAGATGTGGGGGTGCCCACCGTGCCCCTGTGGGGCCAGCCACTTACTGACGTGTGTCCCCCCGCCCCAGGGCCCGGGCAGCAGGACTGCGGGGCCCAGGAGAGCCGCTGCAGCCGCGGCTCCTGCGTGGCACAGCACCGCCTCTGCGACGGTACGGACGACTGCGGGGACGGCTCGGACGAGGACACGACACGTTGCAGTGAGCAGCCCTGGCCCCGGGAGGGGGTCCTGTCCACCAGCTCCCTGACCACAGGGATGGACTGAGGCTCTGCCTTGGTGGGGAAAAGCTGTGCTGTGGGCTGGCAGGGATCCCCCCCAGCTCTGCCCCACAACTGTGGAGCCAGGGAGGGACAAAATCACCCCGAGGGTTTGTAGAGGGGTAGCATCAGCCCAGCCTGTTACCTGTCCATGAGAGGACCAGGACTCCCATCCCTGGATCACAGCTGCCCCTTCTCCCCGCAGAGTCCTTCACCAACTGCTCCTTTGAGCATGATCTCTGCGACTGGGAGGCAGAGCCTGGGCCGCCATCGTGGGACAGGAACACAAGCCTGAACCTGGGCACCTTGTATGGCTTCCCCACCCGGGACCACAGCACCAACAGCAGGACTGGTATGACACATGACCCCCACCACAGGTTCTGGGGTGGACGTGCCCTGGGGTGACACACACCTGGGCTCTGCTCGAAGCTGTGCCAGGACAGAGGTATCCTGCACTCACACACCTGCCTGGCTCCGCTCAGCCCCTTCCCGGTGTTTCCCACAGGGTTTTTCCTCCACGTGAACAGTGCCCCCAGCACAGGGCCCAGCGGCACAGCTCAGCTCAGCAGCCCCACTTTCCAGGCCACCAATTCCTGCTCTGTGAGTCATGACTGAGCCTTGTGTCACCACCTGTGTGGGCACGATGGTGGCGGGACATGAGGTCCCCAGCTATGGGGTTCCTCATGTGGGGATGGGGCTGCGGTCAGCCATTGCTGGGGATGGGCAGCAGGTTTTTGGGAATGTTTTGGTGACATG